CGTGCGTAAATGAAGGACAGAAACAAGCAGGGGGGATTTTGAATTACAGGTCCATGTCGCCACCAAGGAGCACCACTACGCTCCCAGTGACTGGGCCTCCAGGACCTCCTGGATATATATGTTCAACCTAAGTGAGAAACCTGGATTTCATCATGTGAACGCTCCAGGCTGTTACTTTATTTTTATTTTAAAAATTACCCTTTGGTATGTTTGGGAAAGAAAAATAAATGAACAACTTTATATAGATTTTTTAAAAACTCCTTTGATATTTCAAATGCAGAATATGCACATTTTGGGGGGGTGGGTACCAGGGATGGAACTCAGGGGCACTCAACCACTGAGCCACATCCCCAGCCCTATTTTGTATTTTATGTAGACCAGGGTCTCACTAAGTGCTCAGCGCCACCATACCTGGTTCAAATCCCCACCTCTTAACCTGAGCTCTTATAAATCTTGGGAGAGGTGACAGGGCTGTGTCCACCAGGGTGAGATGAGAACAGTGATAGGCCCCTCCTCAGAGAGCAGTTGTGAGGGCCAGGGGAGTCAGCATCTGTGGAGTACATGCAGCAGCATCCAGCATATAATAGTTGCTACATAAATGTTTGTTATTGCTATTGCTGTCCATACATAACTTGCCTAATTTCTCATGGCTAATGCACTGTGTTGCTGGTAGCAACCTAGCTTCTCAGCTTTCACAACCAATGCCTCCAGACATTGACAATATTCCCTTTAGGAAAAAATTGCACCTGCTTGCTGGGCACAGTAGTGCATGCCTGTAATCCCAGTGGCTCAGGAGGCTGAGGAAGGAGGATTAGGAGTTCAAAGCCAGCTTCAGCAATTTAGCACAGCCCTAAGCAAYTCAGTGACACCCTGTCTCTTAAATAAAATATAAAAAAGGGCTAGGGATATGGCTTGATGGTTAAGCAACCCTCGGTTCAATACTCAGTACCAAAAAAAAAAAAAAGAAATTGTACCTGGTTAAGAACCACTGGTTTAGGAATGGACAGGTAATGTGACTCTGGTCACTGAGCCATGTCATTTCCTGCCACATTATTCTTCATGACCACATAGTGTTCCATAGTGGAAAGAGCCCATTGTTTATATAAGCAGTCTCTTGATGGAGCTTWTTTTTTTTTCAATTTTTACAATCATGAATATCTATGTGTTTACATACTTGTACAACAGGATAAATGCAGGAGTGTGAACCTCCCAGCTGCTTGGACACTGAGGCAGGAGGGTCGCTTGAACCTGGGAGCCCAGGTGTTGACACCAGCCTGGGCAAAACAGCAACACCCTGCTTCAAAAATATTAAAATATACGTGTGTGTAGATGTGAAGGTAGATATAAATCCCCATACATTTCTGCATTTGTGAGAATGAATTTATAGAGTAAATGCCTGGAAGTAGAATTTGCAGTTTACATTTCTTGTTTTCTTTTTTTGGTCCTGGGGATTGAACCCAGGGTTGTTCTACCACTGAGCTCCATCCCCAGCCCTTTTTATTTCTTATTTTGAGACAAGGTCTTGCTGAGTTGCTTAGGGCCTCACTAAATTGCTGAGGCTGACCTTGAACTTGTGATCCTCCTGCCTCAGCCTCCTGAGTTGCTGGGATTTCAGGCATGTATCATGGTCCTCACTGTACTGTTTGTATTTCAATAGATACCACCAATGTGCCTTCCAAAAAGTTCTCAAAAGTCAATGTTAGTTGACCTACTACATGTATGAATGCCTGTTTCCACAAATCTTCCCCCTAATTCTATGTGAAAGAAAGACCCTTTAAAAATATTTTTTTGCACTTCAAACAGAAAAAAAATGGTTATCTATAGAAAGAAAAAATATTTTTTGATGTAGAGTAACACACTGTTTAATAAAGTTACCATAATTTATTTGTATGCTGATGTTGAACACTCAATACCTCTTTAGTGTATATTGAAGTTTTTTAAAAATGAGTACAATTATTTTTCATAATTATGACAATTCATTGGCAGATTTGAATTTGTGCATATGAGGTACTATGGATTGAACCCAGGGCCTTGCACATCCTCAGCAAACTCTCCATCACTGAGCTGCATCGGCAGCCCTTAAAACTGATCTTTAATTGGCAAATAATACTTGGGTATATTTACAGGGTAAATATGATATTTTGATTTAAGTTTACATTGTAGAAAGATTAAATCACACTAATTAACATAACTGTCACCACCTACTTCTCATTTTTTTTGTGGTGAGAACCCATTCATTTGCCTATTTGGAAATATATATTCTTTGTTTTGGTTTTGCAGTACTGAGTATTGACCCCAAGAATGCTCTACCAGTGAGCTACCTCCAGCTGCCTCCCCCTTTTTTTTTTTTTAATTTGTTATTTTGAGACAGGGTCTTGATAAATTGCCCAGGCTGATCTTGAACTTGTGATCTTTCAGTCTTAATCTTCTGAGTTGTTGGTATTACAGGCATGCACCACCATGTCCAATGAAATATACATTTTTTTGGGGGGTGTGGGTATCAAGGATTGAATTCAGGTACGCTCGACCACTGAGCCACATCCCCAGCCCTATTTTGTATTTTATTAGAGATAGGGTCTCACTGAGTTGCTTAGCGCCTCACTATTGCTAAGGCTGGCTTTGAACTCGCGATCCACCTGCCTTTGCCTCCTGAGCCACTGGGAATACAGGTGTGTGCCGCCGATGGCACCAGGCTTATCTATTTATTTTTGAAGGAAGAATTCCACAAAAAGTCGTATCGTGGCCCTGCCTAATTTTAGTGTTTTTAATTCAAAATACATATATCAAGTCTGATGACCTCCCTGCAGAATCAACGGAATAAAAACAAGAACTTGAATCACAATGTGTAAAATATTCAGATTATTTCCCTCCAATAGTGATCAATTTTAAATTTTGAAGTAAAAGTAAACAAAGGAAGATGAGAAATATTTCTCATCACTCTTCCTAAGAAGGGTGAACTTCTGTAGTTTGGGACCTGGGCATCTCTGTGGTAGGCCTTACTAAAACAAGGAGAGGGAAATACAATGAAATACATATTTTAAACTTTTATTTCTCCACTATTTTGTTTTTATTGTTTGATATCTTTTTATTGGTGATGGATGTGTTTGATTTGCAGCACACATTTCTACATTTCTGGTTTCAATAAAAATATAAGTACAACGGCACGGTGGCGCGTGCCTGTACTCCCTGTGGCTCGGGAGGCTGAGGCAGGAGGATGGCAAGTTTCAAGCCAGCCTCAGCAACTTAGGGAGGCCCTAAGCAACTTAGCAAAACCCTGTCTCAAAATAAAAAAAAAATAAAATAAAAAGGGCTGGGGACATGGCTCAGTGGTTAAGCGCCTGTGGGTTCAATCCCCATTATCAAAAATAAATAAATAAATAAGAAATAAAAAAAATATAAGTACAAAATGAAAACATAGTAGCCTGGGGAGATCCATGTAAACAGACATGGCTTATTTGAAAAAATCTCACTTTTGCAGGTGCCCACTGCATGCTGGTAATAGCATCCTACCTGCCTTGCAACCCCAGCTCGGGAACACCTGCAGCTCCACACTGGGGTGAATCATTTCCTTCCTGGGCTCTGGGTGATCTATCACACCGGCGCCTTGTCTAGATTTTAACAACACTGTCAACAGAAAAGTTTCCTCATTCCAGAAATGCAAAACAAATTACATAAGAAACGTGTTCTTAAAGGGAAAAAGAAAAAAAACCCTCACCTAAAGGCGTCGGAGCCCAGGATGGCTTGTGCCACAGGAGTCTGGGGTTGCCAAATCCATACCCTGGTTGTCCTTGAGAAACCCGCAGCTCTGTTTTTAATAGCTCGATATCCAAGTGAAATGACACTGATGACTTAGAGCAGACTCACCTTTGATCTACTGATCTACTTAGAAACTGCTGCAGACAGAGCCTGTGGCCCCAGAGATCATTAACCAATTAAAGAAGGAGGAAGAGAACCCTGAGAGTTAGAGAAATACAGGAAGTCTGAGGTTTGCCAGTCGTTGAAGCACTTGGGGTTGTCTTTTAAGAGCCCGAGCCTGAGAATTTTCTTTGGGATAACAAAAGATTCACATTAGAAAGTAAAACAGAGGGGACGGGGCACTGCTTAGAGGCAGAGTCCTGCAGGGATCATCCCCAGCAAGGCACAAACCCCAGAGCCCAGCAAAGCCCCATGCTGCTCAAACTCAAGAAGGGTGGCGCTATTTCAAAGCAGAGAAAGGTGACAGCGCTTGTTCCCCACCTCCCTCAGGGTTCCTGACCCCATCTAAATATGTTTCTATTTCCGAGTCATAAGGCAGGGAAATGGGAGTCATTTTCCTCCCGAGTTCTGCACTCATTCAACGACGCACCTTTTACGTTTTTTTAAAAAAATTAATAGACTTTTTGTTTGTTTGTTTGTTTAGAACTACTGTGGTCCATAGAAAATTAAAGGGTGTAGAAAATTCCCATATACTCACTTCTTCACTCCCCTCCCCCACGTACCTTTCCCCCCTATTCTTAGCATCTGACCTTGGCGAGGCACATCTGATACACTCCATAGGCCAATATTTTGGGGTGGGGTGGGGCGGGGTACCGGTGATTGAACTCAGGGGCCCTCGACCACTGAGCCCCACCCCCAGCCCTATCTTGTATTTTATTTAGAGACAGGGTCTCACTGAGTTGCTCAGCACCTTGCTTTTGCCTGAGACTGACTTTGAACTCTCCATCCTCCTGTCTCAGCCTCCCCAGCCGCTGGGATTACAGGTGTGCGCCACCTCACCTGGCCCTAGATGACCCAATATTAATACATCCTTTTTAACTAAAGTCCTTGCCGACATTGTTTCAGTCTCGTGTTGTGCCTTTCTGCAAGCTTCGGGAAATGTCCATCTAACATGTATTCACCATGACAGCATCATAGACGTAGCTTCACGGCCCTAGAAATCCCCTTTTCTGTTTTAGCAAGGTGCCATTCTAAGTTACAGTTTCAACATAACTGTTAATTTTTTTTTTAAAACCTGATTTTAGGAACAAGAGGAAGCGGATTCTCCCTTTTGGCAGAAACCTGCAGTCACTTGGGCTGTAACTGGGATATCCCGGTGAAGCGGTCAGGTCCTGGCGGATGTATCAGCGCCCACGCAGAAAAAAAACACCAAAATGTGTTTGCCAAACTAACGGAGGAAGCCCCTCCCTCCAAGGACAGGTAAGACCTGGAAGGGGCGTGTCCGAGGATCACCTGCGCCACCCAGTTTACAGTTCCACAACCTGATCACCTCATAAAGCTGCCCAAACCAAGCACTTGGAAAGCTCCTTTGGCTCTTGGACGGAGCCTTGGTGGAAAGGAGTGTACCTGAAACTAACCAAAAGAGGCTAAGTTATGCTTCCAGAAAAATCTTAAAGAAAAGTGTTGAAAGCCACAGTCGGACTGTGAGATCAAAGGAAAGCAGAGAGAGTAATCCCTGGGACTCAGGAGGCTGAGGCGGGAGACCCCGCCTCAGAATAACAACTTTGTTTTTTTCTTTTAACAGTTGGAGATCTGATAGAGCACTTGCCGGGCATGCACATACCCTGCTCAAAACCAGCACGAGGGCGTTGGGGGCAGGGGTTGAAGAGTTCAACTATGAAGGTGTAAAGCCTTCACCCACGAAAAGAGGTGCCAAAGGCGGTGCTAAAAGACAAGGATGACTTTGCATTTAGAGATGGTGACACTCTTGGGACGTACATAGACTAAAGCAAATGACTGCTGAAGCTGCCATCCATGCAGTTCTGAAAGCTCTCAGCATGTACATGATCCCCAGGCCTCTCTTTTAGAACCCACTGATATCTAATCTAATAATAATAGGAATTGAAAAGATAAAGCTCTGCGTGCTGCGCCCTGCCCCCGCCTGGAAGGGGCGGAGTCTCGGTCCCAGGTTTCCCTGGGGACTGTGCCCAGGTCTAGTGTGGAGGAGGCCTGGGAGCGAGGTCAAGCCTCTGCGGAGCCCGGTGTTCCGGAGCTGGACTGTGAGGCTCGGCTCGGGGCAGAGGATGCAGAACATGAACTGTTCCACTTTCCAGCTAATATTTGAGCACCTGCTGTATGTGAAGTGTCGCCCAAGAATAAGACAAGGTCCTGGCCCTCGTGGAACCCGTGGTCTCGTGGTCTCGACAGAGAAGGCAGACGTCAGACTAAACGTGTGAATTTATGAGTTAGGCCATGGAGTCTGGGGAGCAGGGGAAGCGCCTGTGTGTGGAGGCAGTTGGGGTGAAGTGGCCCCAGGCCACCCAAGGGTCTCTAGGCAGCAGAACACGCAGCCAAGGGAAAGGGACAAGGGCCCTGGGGCCGAGTGCCCTGGGCTGTTAGGGCAGAGCAAGGCAGGGCAGGGCGGTGAGCAGGGCTGGAGCAGGAGCAAATGGGCAGGACTAGATCCGAAAGGCTGGACCTGGTGAGCCCTTCCTGGGGACTCTGCTAGGAAAATGGGACAGGCCCCTGGGGGGTCGCGGGGAGGGGCGACAGGCACCTGAGTGCTGCCCTTTTCCCTCCCACCCATTGCCACGGCCTCTGTTTTCAGTGTGGTGGCCCCATGAGGACACCCAGGTGTCCATCCCTAGCAGGGCCTTTCCTGATTGTCACCTCCCGTGTCCAGCAGCTCCCTGGACAGCTGCCCTCTCCGTACATCCAGACACCTGGAAGTTTCTCAAGCTCAGCGCCACCCACCAGGAGCACCACAGCCTCGCCCACCAGTCCGCTCCTCCACAGGCTTCCCAGTCCCAACCCAGGAAATTCAGGATTTACTGGCTCAGCCTCAAAGCCTCAGTTAGCCTCAACTGCCTCCTCCTGTGTCCATTCCACAGCAAAACCCCGCTGACTCTGCTTCAGAGGGGGCCAGAACCCCGAGGGCGAGGCCACTGGCTTTTCTCTTTCCATATCTGTCCCCTTTTCCATTTGTTCTTTTTCATCCTGTGTCTCGGCTTCTCGCTGGTGCTGGAGAGGGAACCACTCTCCCTAAGACACGCCCAGCCTTCCTTTGCCTTCCCATGCACCCAGGCTGGCCTCAGGCTCCTGGCTCAGGCTGGCCTCCTGCTCCATCATTTTTTTTTTTTTTTTGGCAGGGGGGTACCAAGGATTGAACCCAGGAACACTTAACCACTGAGCCACATCCCAGCCCTTCTTGTATTCTATTTAGAGACGGGTCTTGCCGAGTTGCTTAGGGCCTTGCTAAGTTGCTAAGGTTGGCCTTCCACTTGCAATCCTCCTGCCTCAGCCTCCTGAGTCACTGGGATTACAGGCGTGCACCACCGCGCCTGGCTATCCTGCCTCATTTCTAAAGTAGGCGGGACTACAGGCACATGCCACCACAGCCAGCTTGGGTCTGTCCTTAAAATAGTTCCATCAGTGAGCAATGGCACATGCCTGTAATACCAGCTTAGGAGGCAGAAGAAGGAGGATCACAAGTTCAAGACCAGCCTCCACAATTTAGTAAGATCCTGTCTCAAAAGGGACAGTGATGGGTTCAATCCCCAATACCTACCAACCAATCAACCAAAACAAATAAAATAAACAAAAAGAGCTTCAACTCCCAGCTAGACTACATCACCTGTCACTTCAAAACTGCCATGGCTGCCATCTCCCTGGGCTAGGAGCCAAAGCTCTTACCCTACATGCTGGGTTTTCTGACCCTCCCTGCTTTCTGGCCTTGCCACTCTGTACTGATCACAATGAGCTCCTTATCTTGCCAGGAACACAGCAGACATGATCCTACCACAGGACCTTTGCGTCTGCTATGATATCTGCTTAGATATACCCCCAGATAAATGCAAGACCTGCTCCGTTACCTATTCCAGGTGTCTCTTCAACTGATACCTGATGGCAGGAGTCAGCAAACATTTTCTGCTAAGACCAAAATGTAAATCTTTTAGGCATTGTGGGCCACCAGGTCTCTGTTGCAACTACTCAGCTCCGTTGCTGTCAGGGAAGAGCAACCACAGACAATACGTAAGCAACAACAAACACTCTGTGTTCCCATAAAACTCTACGAACACTGTAGTGGGACTTCACGTGACGTTCAGGTGTCATCCAACATTCTTCCTTTGACTTTTCCCCAATCGTTTTAAAAGGTAGGGTTAGGAGCGTAGCTCAGGGGAACAGCGCTCACCCAGCATCCCTGTAGCCCTGGGTTCAGTTCCCAGCAGCACAGAAAATATATCAATAAAATAAAACAGAAATGTAAAAATCGGCTGGGCTCGGTGACACACACCCGTAATCCCAGCTACTCAGGAGGCCAAGGCAGGAGGATTGCAAATTCAAGGCCAGCCTGCCCAATTTAGAGACCCGTTTCAAAAAAAAAAAAAAAAAAAGGTAAATAAATAAATGAATAAAGGTAGCTGCTGGGTAGGTTCTGCGGCACTTGCCTGCCATGTACAAAGCCCTGGGTGCAGTTCCCAGAACCACACACACACACACACACACACACACACACACACACACACACCAAATCCAGGTACAACACGCCAGGGCCTCCATGCGATCTTGGGCAAGTTACCTACTCAGTGTGGAAATGGGTTCCCTGAGCTAATAGGAGTGAGTCTCTCCACACAGTTTGACACAGTGTCTGCAGTAAATAGCAGCCACAGCTTCTTTGTCATTAGAAAGGCATCTTTTCTACCCCCCCCAAAAAAAAAAAACCCAAAAAGTAATAAAATATAGATCAGCAAAAACTAACATCAGTCAGAAAGACACAGTGGTGCATTCCTATAATCCCAGCAACCCAGGAGGCTGAGGCAAGAGGATCACAAGTTCAAGACCAGCCTCAGCAACTTGTCGAGGCCCTAAGCAACTTAACAAGACTCTGTGTCTCCAAATAAACAATAAACAGGGCTGGGGATGTGGCTCAGTGGTTAGACATACCTGAGTCTAATCCCCGGTACTAAAATAATAATAATAATAATACATTTAAAAATAGCATTGTTCCATTTTCCCCAAATAATTACTAGAAGTGCTCTACCTCTGAGCCCCAGCCCCACCCCCTGGACTCTTATTCTTAACAAATAAATTTTTAACAAATCCAGGAAACCATCTGGGAAATTTAAACGCTGGCAATATCATTGATGACATTCAAGACCCACTGCTTATTTTGTGAGGTGTGACAAGGATAGACCTCCCCCCCCCACCGCCCCCCTCCACTGGGGATTGAATCCAGGGAAACTTTTATCACCAGTTACATCCCCAGCCCTTTTAATTCTTATTTTGAAACAAGGTCTTACTAACTTGCTGAGGCTGGCTTCAAACTTGAGATCTTCCTGCCTCAGTCTCCCCAGTGGCTGGGATTACAGGTTTGTGCCACCAGCCCTGACTGTGATTATGCTTTTAAAAGGAGTCCTTAAACTGGGCGCAGTGGCACAGTGGGGCACACCTATGATCCCAGCAGCTTGAGGCAGGAGGATCACAAGTTGGAGGCCTGTAGCAACGGAGACCATCTCAAAATAACAAAATAAAAAGGAGGACTGGGGAGGTAGCTCAGTGGAATAGCACCCCTGGGTTCAATTCCAGGAAACAACAACAACAAAGTCCGCATCTTTTAGAGATACTAAAGTGTCAGTGAATAAAATTCTATGGTATCTAGAAATTTCATCTAGATGATAGTCACCAGGATTCCCAGCCACTCGGGAGACTGAGGCAGGAGGATCACAAGTTCAAAATCAGCCTCAGAAATTTAATGAGGCCTTACGCAATTTAGCAAGACTGTTTCAAAATAAAAATAAAAAGGGCTAGGGATCTAGCTCAATGGTTAAGTGCCCCAGGCTCAGTCTCTAACACAAAATATACATATTATATGTATTGTTTCCTCTATATATATATATATATACTCTCGATAGATAGATAGATAGATAGATAGATAGATAGATAGATAGATAGATAGAGATATACAGGTATATCTATATCTGTATCTATATAGATATAGATCTATACAGAGAGAGAGTGCGCACGCTGGAGTAGGGTTCACACTACGCCAGGGGATCATGAGTTGACCCTTATTAAACTGTACAATGAGCAGGTGCAGTGGTTTGAATGCCCCTTCCCCAGTAGTACTGTTGGAAACCTGACTCCATGCTGCTGTGTTGGAGGCCTCTGGGTCTTGAGGGCTCCCCCTCCTGAATGGATTCCTGCCCATCTCCAGGGCTGGCAGCAGCTGGCATTATAGTCGTGCACACTTATAATTCCTGCTACTCTGGAGGCCCAGGCAGGAGAATTGCAAGTTCAAAGCAAACCTCAGCAAGTTAGTGAGGACCTATCTCAAAATAAAAAATAAAGTAAGGACTAAAGGGGTAGAGCTGCTCTCAGTTCCAGGGGTTGGCACAGGAGTCCTATCACCTGTATTTGCAAATAGAGTATTTTGCTGGAGCAGGGAACAGGGGCTTTAGTGGGGATAGAACCCTGGGGGGTGCGACCACTGAGCTACATTCTCAGCTTTTTTTAATTTTTGTCTTGAAACAGAATCTTTTTTTAAAAAAAAAAATTTATTTTATTTTTTGGCGGACACAACATCTTTGTTTGTATGTGGTGCTGAGGATCGAACCCGGGCCGCACGCATGCCAGGCGAGCATGCTACCACTTGAGCCACATCGCAGCCCATTGAAACAGAATCTTGCTAAGTACACAGACTGGCCTCAAACCTGCGATCCTCCTGCCTCAGCCTCCTGAGTTGTTGGGATTACACGTGTGGGCCACTGTCCCCAGCTAATAACCTATGTTCTTTATAAATTCCCCTGTCTCAGATATTCTGTTATAGCAGAATAAAATGGACTGAGACAGTGGATGGAGGTTTATTCTGCTCTTCTCTCTACTTTTGTATTTGCTTAAAAGTGTTCATAATAAAAATAAAAAAAAATTTTAAAAGGCGGGGTGGGGAAGCTGGGGTGTGACTCAGCGGTAGAGCACTTGCCCAGCACTTGCCAGGACCTAGGTTCAATCCTCAGCACCACATAAAAATAAATAGATAAAATAAAGATATTGTGTTCAACTACAACTAAAAAATAACTATTGAAAACTGGCTGCCAGGTCAGGGGCCACTGGTTACCCTGTGTCTTCTCTTCTTCCTCAGCTATAAAGCCCCCATCTTGAGAGGCTGCTTGCCACGCAGGCAACAAGGCATGTTTCCAAGATTTCCTAGTCCCAAGAACAGCCACATGACACCATTCTGCAATATTTGTAAGAAATGGCATATTTGACTTCTTGAAAGTGTCTTTAGCTGGGCGCGGTGGTGCACACCTGCAATCCCAGCAGCTCAGGAGGTTGAGGCAGGAGGATCACAAGTTCAAAATCAGCCTCAGCAACAGCAAGACACTGAGCAGCTCAGTGAGACCTTGTCTTTAAATAAAATAGGGCTGGGGATGTGGATCTGTAGTTGAGTGCCCCTGAGTTCAATCCCCAGTACCAAAAAAAAAAAAAAAAAAAAAAAGCGAAAGTGTCTTTAGACTGGGGATGTGGCTCACTGGTAGAGTGGTTTGATCTCCAGTCCTGTCCCCAACCCCCCACCCCCGACCAAAAAAAAAAAAAAATGCCTTTAAAGAGGCACATCTTTTCTTCTGATCTCCAACTATTCTTTCTGCTTGTTGCAATATAGTCTGGTAGGTGGAGCCTCAGCAGCCATGTTGGATCATGAGGCATAAGCTGGATGAAATGATGTTGTGACAGGAAGAAGGAAGGAGTCCAGTTCCTGGTTGCATGGAACATCCTTGATTAACTGCCTCCAAATTTATTTTTCATGAGGAGGAAATAGGGCTCTTTTATTTGTTTATTTTTCGGAGACAGGATTATACTGTGTTGCTTAGACTGCCCTCAAATTCCTGGGCTCAAGAGAACTTCCTGCCTCAGCCTCCTGAGTTGTGGGCATTGCAGACATGTGCACCTGGCAGCCACTGAACTCTTTCCTACAATAAAATCACGTAAACCCCCTCTGGTGGTGTTGACACTGAGTTGTAAGATGAGAGCCTCCTGGTCTTGCACCCGCTGGTTACAGGGCGGTGTCCAGCTCTGCCTGTCTAGGCACTTGCCCGGCTCCTGGGCATTGAGCAACCATGCTAACAACCCGCATCGGGCTGGGTTCTTTCA